GGCGCGTCTGACCCCGGAGGTTCGTTCTGGGTTGCCTGGCGCTCTTTCGAAACGCTTCAGTTAGGCAGCTTCGTTGGGTTTGGTTTGGTTTGGTGTATAAATTCTGGTTCAGTGACTGTTACGTGAAGGGGTCAGGCTTATGAATCCTGTACCGGGCAGACCCTTGTCTTCGTGGTAACAGCGGCTGTAGAAGTGGCGTTTGAACTGCTTGCATTGGTGTTTTGGTAAAACTGTTTTACACTAAGCGCTAAATAAACGCTCAAGTATCCAGATTGTTCTCCCAGAAGAGTTCGGCATTAACCTGCCTTCAGGCTTATAAATGGATTTCATGATTGCGGCTTACAAAATCTGGGTTCTCTGTATTTGAGCTACTCTTCCAGTCCTAGTCGTGTAGCCAGCTCAGAGTTATTTTGGTCCTTCCAAGAGCTGTAGTATTCTAAAGCCTGTGTGAAATCGTGTTGTCTCAACTGGTCGGCTGAGGACTCCTTGCTCTGTTAGGATATCGTGGTCCAAGGCAGGTCCAACTTGTGCAGCTTGCGCTTTTCTTGCCTGTATTGCGAATTCTTGCACTTCAGTGGTTATTGAAAGCTAAATCTCAGCAGTGTGTTTAGTTTTGATTAAAATTAACAAATCTATAGCAAAGAAGAAGCAACTCATTACAGGAGATTTGGAAAATAAATCTTGAAGTTCTCTGTTTGCTCATTAGGAATTTTTATGCGTTTTACACTAGGTGGCATTTTTCTTCTGGTGTAAATAGACAAATTAGCATAAAAAGCCTGTTCCGGAGAGTATATTGTATAATTTAGGTTAGGAAGGACTTCTAGAAGTCAAGTCCAGCTTTCTGCTCAGTGCAGCTTCCACTTAAAGCCAAATGAGGGTGCTGAGCACCTATCCAGTTGGGTTCCAAAAATTTCTTATGATGGAGACTCCTCAATCTCCCCATGCAGTTGTTTCAGAGCATAAAAGCATGCCCTGAGAAAACATTTCCCTTTAGATCCCGCTGCAGTTTCTCCTCTTGATTTTTGTAATTTTTGTCTCTTGTCCTTTTACTGTTCTTCTCTGAAAATTTAATCTTACTCCTAGACTAGCTAAAGAAAAGAGCATTGTCTTTGAGCAAGATCTGCTGATCCGAGGGGGCTGGTCATGTTTGTATATACTGAAACAGAGCAAAAAGTTTTTAAAACAGTGTGTGTGTGATCTAAAGGGTAAAAAATAAAAAACCAGAAACAACTGTAAATACTGTTTATGTAGGGACCATTACAGGTAACAAAGCTGATTTGTGCTACCTAATGCCAGCTTTACTTAACCAGACTGTCTGGCCTGGTTCAGCCTCCGGTGGCCTTCTGTCCCACAATGATTTATTTTAAACTACAGTTTAGAAACAAAGTGTTGTAAGGAGTTATATCATTTGAACTGCTAATCTAGTTCATAACCTGTAGAAATCTTTTTAACTGGTTGTCGTGGTTTAACCCCAGCCAGCATCCAAGAACCACGCAACTGCTTACACTCCCTCCTCCCCCTTTCCCCCCAGCCTGGAGGAATGGGGAGGGGAAAATAAAATATGTGGGTTGAGATAAGAGCAGTTTAATAATTGAGAACAGAATCAGATAAAATTCTAATGGATAGTAAAAAGGAGGTCAAAGAATAGCCAAAGACTAACAAAACCAAACCAATGGTGCAGAATACAATTGCTCACCACCTGCAAACCGATGCAACCCCGTACCTGCCCCCGGATCGGCTCCCCTTCCCATTTATATACTGGACATGATGTTCTCTGGTGTGGAATATCCCTTTGGCTAGTTCAGGTCACCTGTCCCGGCTATGCTCCCTCCCAGTTTCTCTTGTGTACCTTATCACTGGCAGAGCATGAGACACAAGAAAGAAAATGTCCTTGATTTAAGATAAACACAACTTAGCAGACACCAGAACATCAGTGTGTTGTCAGCATTATTCTCACTCTGAATCCAAACACCACACTGTACCAGCTACTGAGAAGAAATTAACTCCATCCCAGCAGAAACCAGCACACTGGTAGTTTTTCTACCCTTTTCTTTTTGTTACTACTCGTTAACAAAAATGCCTGTGCTGATTTTGCTTTGGACAGAGGCCTAGAGGCATCATTCAGATTTCGCAAAGGAATTATGTGTTTCAGGTGTCATTTTAAACTGTGACTACAAGCTGGGAGAAGATGAATAGGTAAGGTAGTGAACTGTGCAATTATGACAAGTTTCTTATTGATGGAAAATATTATCTACAGCGGCATCTTCCGAGTAGAAATCTGTTATATTTTCTTTCTCTTTATCTAGGAATGAGCTCTCAGTAGACAAAACTAAAAAGAAGAAAAGAAGAGAACTGACTGAGGAACAGAAGCAAGAAATTAAAGATGCCTTTGAGTTATTTGATACAGACAAAGATAGAGCAATAAATTATCATGAATTAAAGGTAAGAGGTTTTTTTATTAATTTAAACAATTTTGTGGCCAATAGTATCTGTTCCTTAGTAAATTTTTAAGATATTTGCTGTATATTTAAAAACCTCCGTCAAGATGTCTTGGGTTGAAGGGTTAAAGTAATAAAAAAAAAAATCTGAAAATAAGGGAAATGCTGCATTTTTGTAAGAATGAGCTTTTCTTCCCACTCTATGTACTTGATGCAGTAGTGGAATTGCTGTAGCGTTCTGAATAATCTGGTCTCAATGTTCCCCAGGGTTTAGCTTGGACAGATGTCTAAGTGGGAAAAGCTCTTGAAAAATGATTCGATTCTTTTTAAAGGCACTGTATAACGTAAAGCTTAGTGTTGTGAAAATCCACAGGTTTCAGTTGCTTAGGTAAAAGATGTAAATCACATTTGTAAAACTGTTAACTACAAGCCAGATAAGCTTGTGCTTTTCAGCATAAAGCCTATGGTTTGTGGGAAATGAGGTAACGGTCTTCGCTGAGTGTGTGGGAGGCTCAGTAATTGCCTTTCCCAGTGAAGGATGCTGCTATTGGCAGATACGAAGTGAAGGATAGCTATTGGCAGATGGAGGTTCGGATGGCAGTCTTTCCTAGTGAGTCCTCCTGCCTGATAGTCTATAGAAGTAGTGAGTGAAGTTTACTGAAGTCACTTTAAATCTCTTACGAATTTTTATTCCAATTATACTGCATCAAGACCAAAAAATGGCTTTGGAGAGGCCAGTGTTTCTGTCATGTATCGGAAGAAATACCTAACCCAAACTTCTGCCTCCGCATTCTGGCTTTACCAAGTAACTTGTAGAAGGACAGAAGTCTTATTTTTACTTAAATTGCTGTTATGGGAGTGTCTTAGGTATGATGGTATCATAGTATGTTAAGGGTTAGGAATAGACCTTAGATATCAATCATCTCATCCCAACCTGCCTTGCCACAGGCAGGGACACCTCCTACTAGATCAGGTTGCTCAAGGCCCCTTCCGGTCTGGCCTTGAACACTGCCAGGACTGAGGCATCCACAACCTCCCAGGACAACCTGTATTACCACCCTCACAGTAAAAAATTTCTTCCCAATATCTAATCTACATTTCCCCTCTTTCAATTTGTATCCATTACTCCTTGTCCTATCACTACAGTTACTAACAAAGAATTCCTGTTCAGCTTCCTTGTAGGCCCACTTCAGATACTGGGAGGTTGCTCATGCAACCTTCTCTTCTCCAGGCAGCACAGCCCCAACTTTCTCAGCCTGTTTTTGTGGGGAAGGTGCTACAGTCCTCTTATCTGCTTCGTGGCCCTCCTCTGGACTTGCTGCCACAGTTCCGTGTCCTTCTTATGTTGGGAACACCAGAACTGTAGACAGTACACCAGGTAGGGTCTCATAAGAGCACAGTAGAGAGGGAGAATCACCTCCCTCGACCACATTTCTTTTGATGCAACCCCAGACACAGTTGGCTTTCTAGGTTGTGAGTGCACACTGCAGCTCATGTTGAGTTTTTCATTAACCATCACCCCCAAGTCCTAGGCAGGGCTGCTCTCAATCACCTCTCTGCCCAGCCTGTAGGTGTGTCTGGGGTTGCCGTGACCCAGCTGTAGGACCTTACACTTCACTTTCTTGAACTTCATGAGGTTGGCATCAGTCCACCTCTCAAGCCTGTCAAGGTCCCTCTGGACAGCATCTCTTCCCTCAGACATGTCCACTGTATCACACAGCTTGGTGTTGTCAGTGAACTTGCTGAGGGTGCACTCGATCCCACTGTCCATGTCACCAACAAAGATGTTTAACAGTGTTGACCCTAGTACTGACCCCTGAGGGACAGCACTCTTCACTGGCCTCCACATGGACAATGAGCTGTTGACCACAACTCTTTGTATACAACCATCTAGCACCAGTTCTTTATCCACTGAGTGGCCTGTCCATGTCTCTCCAATTTAGAGACAAGGATGTCATGTGGGATGGTGTCAAATAATTTCCAGAAGTCCAGGTAGATGATGTCAGTTGCTCTGCCCCATCCACCAATGGTGTAGCCACGTCATAAAATGTTACTAGATTTGTTGGGCAAATCCATGTTGGCTTTTACCAATCACCTCTTTGTTTTCCATGTGCCTTAGCATAATTTCCAGGAGAATCTGCTCCATGATCTTGCCTGGCCCCGAAGTGACACTGACTGGTCTGTAGTTCCCCACATCTTCCATTTTTCCTTTTTTAAAAATCTTTGACATAATCCACTGTGTCTAGGGTAGTGCTGGGGATTGTTTTGGTGCTGATAATATGCTTTTTCCAGTTATTATATGCTTTGAACTCTCAGCTGTCATGAATAATTGTAAAGCTGTTTCTTAGCTGTCTAATTAGGTATTGTTGCCCTGAAGCTAATAACTCCTCTGTAAAATCAGCATATAGCTTAGATTTTTTGAATGACTACTTCCAAAAGCATTCTGGTTTTTCACTTCTAGTTTAGTCTATGTTTGTCAGTTTGGAGGAAATCAAGGTAGTGTGTACTGAGAAATTGCCATCTCAGTTGAATTGGGAAACTAAATGTGGACTCCTAACCTAATGGAAAAGTGAAAAATAGGTTGGCTTTTGTTGTTCACTGGAAAAGCAGTCACTTGTAGGTGGACTTGTAAACACGTGAACATATATACGCTTCGTACGAATAATGAAGAAGAATTGTTTGAAGAGTGATTTTCAGTTTTGTCTGCGGAAAAAGTGAGATTTGGAAATGGCTTTGGAAGTGAGGAGAATAAATCTACTTGATCTAAGAAGCATTTGGTCCAGTCTGTAAAATCCCTGAAAATGCAGAGGCTAGCTTTTTTTCAATGTACCTTGATGTTCCATTTGCTAAAAGTAGTTCTAGGTGGTTTTAATATCCAAAGTTCTTTTCCTTTTATTTATTACTGTTGCTGAACCACTGATATGAACTTTGTCTCTTGGGTAAGAAGATAATTACTGAAATTCAAAATCTGTGAAATCAATTTTATTCCTTACCTATTGTTGTACTTCCATTTTATTCCTAAAGGTGGCAATGAGAGCCTTGGGTTTTGATGTGAAAAAAGCTGATGTCCTGAAAATACTTAAAGATTATGATAGAGAATCAACAGGCAAGATCACCTTTGAAGATTTTAATGAAGTTGGTATGTGTTTGATTGTGTGTCTGCCTCTAGAGATCTTTAGCCTATAGTAGTGACTACAGTTCGGATGCAATACTTTGTGGACTTCTTCAGTTATCTAGTACTATTAAGAAATAGAAATGGGAGATTTCATTTCATGTTTTTCTTAATATGCTGCGTCAATAGTGAAGGAAGATAAGTCTTTGTATTCTAAATGCTTAATTTGGTATGCAGAGATGAATGATAGCCACAGTATAAAAGGTTGTATAGTATACATAGTTCTGATCTTTTTCAAGGTTACGCAGAAAAAAAAGCTAACTTCAAATGTGGATGTTCTTGTGTTTATGAATTTTTGTAAGATTCTCCTTCCTGCTATGCAAAAGGTATTTGGCATTGAATTTCGTGGGAAGGAGTGTATACACAGAATACAAGCGGATGTAAGCGGAATACAGACTTCATCTATAAAAAAAGATGGGAGAAATTGAAGCAGATGTTAAATACTGTACTTGAAGGATTTTCAAGTGTGGATAAAAACTTGAATCAGATTAGAGTGCTGCTATGGTGCAATATGATCTTGATACAGAATTAAACATGATGCCACTTCTATCAAAAAGATCAGGGAGTTAGAGAAAAAGAGGTTATTGAGGTTTTAATTATGAGGAGCTACTGAAGATAGCTAAGCAATTTTTAAGCCATCTATTTCTCTTAATTTAACGTTATTTATGGTTTGTAATGCCCAACTGAAATATATAAAGATGCAATTATATTTTGTCTTGTCTTCTACAGTTTTGTATGTAGAGACTTAGTGTTTTATTGTTGTTCACTTGCCTTTTTGCCACAAAAGGTAGCATTTTTCAAATGATGTAATACTGTCATGCCATGCCATTGTTTTAAAAGGCAGTATATAAATGTAGGATAAATCTGGAGCATTTATTTAGATGTATAAACTTCATTGCTGCAGTGAGCTTATATGAGCTTGAAAAAAGTTTTTCCTCTTGAGTTTGCTAAGTTTGAGCAGACATTCCATCTGCAGACAGTAGCAGATGGCAAGTGGTTTATGCGCAAGCAGTGTTGATGTGATTTTAATGGTTTGTTGAAGTCGTAAATAGCAAGCCCTGTAATACAAGACTACCAGGTACAAAGGTGTGAAGATATATTATGGTTGGTTGGTCTAAAATAATTGCTAGAAAAATATTTCATGTGGCAAGTTTCTTTTCTGTTGCAGAAACTGACAAATGGTTGTGATAAAAGGAATAATAAAGGCCAAAGCAGAATAAACATCTTGCAATTCATAGCAATGTCCTTTTTATAACCACTGTAGTTAGGTTTTCGGTTGGTTTGGGGTTTTTGGGGGGGTTGTTTTGTGTGTTTGTGGGGTTTTGTGTTTAAAAGAGAGGTTCCCTGTGACTGTTTTTCTTTACTTAGTGTTTCAGTGCTCTCTCCAAGTCAAAATTCTATCCTGATGAAACATATTAAAAAAATTCACATCTTTATTTGTCAGAGCTGTTTGTTTGGGTTTTTTTTGTTCTGAAAGTTTGGAACAGAGGAGACATGTATACTTTTATTTCCTATTGGAAAAATGTGTAGCAAGTATGACTCTCTGTGAATTGTCATGTAGCTTTCCACTGCAACAGGTGTGTCTCAAAGAGCAACTCAGCTTGGGAAAGAGAGATGAGAGAGGTCAGGCAACAGCCAAACAAATATGCATGTTGAATTGAAATACATGAAAATGTAAGAATGGGTGGAATCAGAAGTGTGTTCTTCACATTGCCTCAGTTTGTGAAGGTCATTCTGAGTTTACCCTCCAGAATTTTTTTGTTTAACTTTAGTGTCCTTCTTGTAGTGACAGACTGGATATTGGACAGAGACCCGCAAGAAGAAATACTCAAGGCATTCAGATTGTTTGACGATGACGACTCCGGTAAAATAAGTCTGAGAAACCTGCGCCGGGTTGCTAGAGAATTGGGTGAAAATATGTCTGATGAAGAGCTGCGGGCTATGATTGAAGAATTTGACAAGGATGGAGATGGAGAAAGTACGTGTTGGCAAATAAACTCCCATATAGTCTTGTTCTTAATTTTCTCCCCTTTTTAAATGTAGTTTCGTTCTGAAAATGTCTTCCTTAGTTTCCTTCTAAATTCAGCTCAAACTTAATTTAGCTTACAAATAATGAAAACTGTTGGTTTTGACAGATACTAGTCATGTAAACACATCCTGGAGTCTAAGAATCAAGTTGATTCACCACTAATGATTACTCAGCCAATGTCTTTCAAGAGATGGGTGAAAGTCTAGTTGAAAGTGGAAGTAATTGAACTGGTACATGGGAGATTCCATGTACCAGCGTTACATTTTTATTTCCTTGTAAGTCAGTAAAAGGATTAAAGTGCTAAGGGAGTCTTGCGGTTACTTATTCAATATTTCTTAAGTGGCAATGTGTCATTGTTGTGATTTCAGTGTGTTAGTCAGATATGGAGCATTAAGCTAATAAATCATGCTGGAAGTACCCTGAGTCTATGCAGCATCAGCTTGGATGGGGTGCTGAAGAGCATAGTGTGAAAAATTGGCTCTGTGCAATTGACAAGGTCTATACAGAGTGGCTAAGTTTCCTCTTATTCATTCATCCATTCATTCTCTTTGTTAGAGCAATCGAGCACAAGATCAGATATGGAAGACTGACAGTGTAATGTTTGCATATGATACTGTTTATCCTTAAGGTTCTGTGTGTTTTCTGTTCTTTAAAGAAAACTGAGGCTGTTTCTAGCTTTTTAAGATTCACTCTGAAAAAGTAAATAATGCTGTGAATCACCATTCCAAGTATCTTCAGACATCTGGGACACATAGGAAAATCTTGCTGTCATCTAATTCTCCTTCTTTTCCTGCTTTCAAAGTAATCCAGCCAAACAAACTGTTAGTTGATAGCATTTTTAATTGATACTTCAAATACGGGAATAATGCCACTTTTGGTTTAACACCTTTTTTGTATTTTAGAGATTGTTTTGCTCACCGTGAGCTCTCCTGTGTGATTCTTAGGTTATATGAACCCTCATGTTCTCGGCGAAACCACTGAGATGTACTGGTGTGCTGTACATAGGTTTCTGTAAAAGAAAGTATTTTTTTGTGTATTTGTGTCTGCCTTAAAAACTTAAATAGTCTGATTTTTGTATTCCTAGGTTTAGGAATAACTTCTCTTCTGGAGTATGACTAATTTTAGAAACACTATGTTATCAGTTCATGCAGGTTTTGTCATCTTTTGTGACTGCATCTGTAGGAAACATCCAGTCTTGGGTCTCAGATTTTGGCACATAATTAGGAGGGGGGAAAAAAGCCCCTGAAAAAATGTGCACTTGTAACTCTCAAGATTCTAAGTCAACATTTTCTTCATAATAGTTGTGATACTAGTTTGTTCTTTTATGAACGCTTATGTCATGGAGTTGAGGGAAATCTGATGCCAGGAAAGGCTGTGGCTGCTTCTGCTTTCATTGCACTTAACTTGTGAACAGATTTTAAATCTGAAGAGGATTAACTGGGGTTACCTGGGTTAGTGGGAATTGTAGCTACACTTCTTTTTGCAGTTTGTTTGAATGTTACAAGATTTGTTTGTCACTATAATAGCGTATTTCCACTTTGCAGTATTGCTTAACAAGGATGTTGTAAACCAGAGTATATTTTGGGGAAGATGTTTGAATTTATGCTGTTACTATGTTGTTACTGTGATAAAGCTGTGAAAATGCTTTTAAAAGTCATACAGTCGATATTGTGTTTTTGTGTCTTAGAACACGATGTAGATACAGGATGGACTGGTATTTCAGAGCATAGACTCCTAAGCTAGACTAAATATTGTTTCATGTTTTTTTACATGCTTCACAACAGGGCAGATTTAAGTTGTGGGGTTTTTATTCTTACTATAGGTGAATTTATTTCATTTTCTTCTATCTGTTAATGTAGCTCTTTCTTTACAGTGCTTTTTTTAGGAATAGCTTGGGCACATTGGCTGGCGTGGATGATTATCAGAGAGAATTCTTCATAGGTGTCTTTGTCTTTCCCATACCACTGACATATTCTAATCATTTCCCAATACAGTAATTAGTTGCAGAGTGAACATGTTCATTGGTTCACTCTGTTTTAACATATGAATAAGGTCAATAGCTCAGGTATAAGTGTAGCAAAATAATTAATGACTGCTAATTCATTTATTATGACTTATTTCTTCAAGTGCATTTGTGTAAAATTTCTAGTAATTATAACTGAAGAGTGAAGACAGTTCAGATGGGGAAAAGCTCATCAAAAGTGTGTTTTTAATTCTAGCTAATTTATGGAATAATTATTAAGTGGTCTTAAAATTCATTTTGTGTTTGGCAAGTGTTACAGATTTGGGAGAGGTACAGCATGGTATGGCCTGTGAGTGATTTGGATATAAATGTTTGAATCATGATTTTAAGAATAAAACTGAATTTGATCATAGCTGAATTATTATTGCTTGAGAAGCACTTATTAAATAAAATTTATATACCTTAGTATTTTTATAAAACTTAATGTATTATATTTTTGCATAGCCATCTTTTTCTCAAACATGTTACTCGGGGGTTTTTTTCTATCACATTTTACTTTTATAATATTTTTACTTTCGTAATTAGAAATAATAGCTTGTGATATGTGAGATAAACTCTGGCTTAAGTATTCCACATACTTAAGCTTGCATTCTGATTTGATTTTATGTGGGGAAAAAAAGTGCAAAATCCCTGCTGTAGAAGCAACAAGTCCAAACTTGCAAACCCTGGTAGTAATGGATCAGACAGAACAAAGACTAACAGAGAAACCCCTAAGTAGAAGTATAATACAGATAGAGATTATTTGCTTTTATGGTTGTTCGCTGTTTGTCTAACTATTGTGTTTTTTGGGGTTTTTTTTACAGTCAATCAAGAAGAATTTATTGCTATTATGACTGGAGATATTTAGCATTTGAAGAAGAGGAATTAACCCAGCATAGAAGGAGGAGTTGTTGGCAGCTTCCATTACAATGTTTCATACTTTCATTCATTTCTGTAGCTGGAGTGATGCAGAAAATTCCTTTTATTGTAGGACCAAAATAAGGACAGGTCACATGCACTGATAATTCAGTACTTTATATCATTAAATATTATCACTAGAATAATTGATATATTATTATAGAATGAGTAAGTAATGATGCATTTTGGAACGTTTGTGTAATCATTTGTAAAACAGGCTTGTATCAGATTTCTAAATTGTATCCTATTATAAGAACCTTCTGAGGTTCTTGACTTTGTGTTAGCATTAGATGTGGCCTTAGTTTTGATACATAAGGTTTGACAAACTTCCATTTTAATAAAATGTTCTTTATTATTACTACTTGAAAGTCTTATTTTTTTAGTTTAGTCTGAGCTGGACTAGAAGGTAAAATCCTTCAGTGAAAAGATTTCTTTTTTTTCATTTATGAGCTTTTACTTCTGCTTTTGTAGATGAATGGTAACATTAAATGAGGAAGCATTGGCATCCTCAAAGATGCCATTTATTAGCTCTCTGTTACCCCTGTGTGATAGCAAATGGCAGATAACTATGCATGATGATAAACTGTCTGAAACATGCTTACATAACCCAGATGTCAGCCAGCAGCTCTCTCTTCAATCACAACAATGACAATGACAGCAACAAACTTGCAAGCAAAGTAGATTGCTTCAGAATCCAATATAAAAAAACCCAACATAAGATATAAAACTTTTTTAAAGAAACCCATTGAAAAAACTGCAACAACCCCCCCCCAGCTTTTAATCAGTATTTTGCAGTCTTAGAAGATGTGTTTGAGAGGTGAATCTTTAAGGGAAAAGGTTCAGTTTTTGGGACTGAGCTTATGAACTGCTCTTAACAATTATATTCTAGGATCAGTACAAGAATTGTCCAATTCCATAGCTTCTGGCTTTGCTCTTAACTTATGTAAACTATTTCAAGGTCGCTCTTATTTTCTGCAGATAGTGAGAATGATAAAGAACTTAAAAGGTCTGTCAGTAGTAATCAGAAAACTTTTTCCCCAAGAATCCTACCTTTACACTGGACGTTCTAAGTTTTCTAACATTCTGCTGTGGCATTTATGGGGATGTTACCATAGATCATTGACTCCACCATCTCCATAAATGGCTGGTAATTATTTCTTGACAGATGACAATTTACTATTTGCAACTCCTCTAGTAAGATGTACTTTGTGTCTTCTGCACTGAGGCCTTATTTCTAGCTTTTGCAATGTACTTGAAAAACCTTATTTTTTCTGTGCAGATGTGGCAGGACTTGTTAGGGGCCAGGCAACAGTAGTGCAATGCTCCCTAAACACAGAGCAGTGACCTGGAGAGAGGTGGTGTAAGCTGCTCAGACTGTGGAAGTAAAGAAAGGGAAAAGAAAGAATCAGCATGACTGATACTGTCACGATGCTTTTCTTTTTCTCTGCATTTCATTGTTTTGGAGATGACTGGTTTTGTGCTGCTGACTGG